CCTGGATTTCGTCTTTCCCTCCATCTCACCACACCTTCATCTCCCTGGAGTTCGTCCTTCCCTCCCTCAGTCACCTGCTAGACGTCCTTACTCCTGCAGTGTATTTCCTGGGTACTGACAGGTGTTCAATGCACTTGTGCTGCACTCCCCCACTCCCCTCCAAACATGTGTACATACACCTGACCTCCATTTACCTTCCTATTCAGTAGTAACACCTGTATATTATTATTATTATTATTGTTATTATTGTTATTATTATTATTATTATTATTATTATTATTATTATTATTATTATTATTATTATTATTATTACCACTACTACCAGTAATAATAATAATACTTCTTTTTGTCCGTATCCCACCAAAATAATAGTGGTACTACTACATAATAGTCTTGTTGGGTCTCAGGAATCACTTTAACTTCGCAGGTAACATAATTACTATTAAGGTGATAGAGTTGAGTAATTACCTTCACTTAGCTAAGTGGTTTATCACTGCACTGACTCACCACTACCCACACACCACTGATCCAACCACTGATAATAAGGATTTGTGACATAGAAATGGGGTTGAAAAAAAGAAACGAAATGCAAATACTAAGGCATTTTATTAGGAACGTTTTGATCCTGGGACTTCAGTCACTCTTCACCTAGCAGTGAAATAGGTACCTGGGTGTTAGTCGACTGGTGTGGGTCGCATCCTGAGGACAAAACTGACCTAATTTGCCCGAAATGCTCTGCAAAGCAAGGGGCTTTCTATACAGTGGTGTGTCACTGATGTCAGCTATGGTCTGTATAAGTTGTATCATGTACTTGTAGAAATAAAGATTATTATTATTATTACTAATATTATTATTATTATTATTATTATTATTATTATTATTAGTAGTAGTAGTAGTAGTAGTAGTAGTAATATAAACGTACATACGGGCAGGAAGACGAGCTTAGTGAAATAGCTGAAGGCTCGTGAGCCGGAGTCTGCTGAGATCTGGCTCTGAGAAACTCATCTTTTCTCTGTACCCAGCTCATCGTGGTTTTCTTCCAAATTTATAGACAAATGGTAGACAGTGCCGACAAGGTAATGAATTAGACAAGTGTGCAACATCTGGGTGAATGAGATACTTGTGCGACATTTGGGAATATTTATTCTGGAAGCGTTTTGTCAGCCAGTGACTTCTTCAGTCCGGTGCAGAGAAAGGTGGAAGATGAGGAGTAAGTTGAGGTAGTCAGTCCCTCAGATACTGCCAGGAAAACTCAACTGTTGTCCAATGGATGAAACTCTACTATAAGCTGCGCTTAAGCTACCATCTCTCATAAAACTGACTTCTCATGAAAAACTAGGACAATCGAGTCACTACTCAAAGTAACCACAACAAACCTTATCATAAGAACATAAGAAAGGAGGAACACTGCAGCAGGCCTATTGGCCCATCCCAGGCTGGTCTTTCTCAAACCCAAACCCACTGATAACTTTTCGCCCAGTCTTTCGAGTCCCACTCGTCGGCTTTTACTGTTGTTGCCTACCGAGTTATGTAAAGGTAGGGACGGAGCCACGATTTGTCCAAGAGGGAGGACATACTTGCCTATACCGATGGAGGGACACAGGTGACAGATGGCCTTGTATTGTACATGCAATGGTATACTGCAAACATAATGGTGCACTGCACACACAATGGTGTATTGCGCATGCAACTGTGCGCTGCACACGCAGTGGTTCACTACAGGATTCATATATTTTAAGTCACTAAATATTGATTTTTATAGTAGTAACAACGAGTAATAATACACTAATAACCCGCACATAGGAGAGAGAGAAGTTTACGACGACGCTTCGGTCCGACTTGGACCATTTACAAAGTCACACTAACACAAAAGAGTGAGGGAGCCAGTATATATAGGTGAGGGGGACAGGGATGGGACCAAGAGAGGAAGAACAAGTAGTAGTGGTCGAGGTAAGGCTGATAGTGGAAGTAATATTAGAAGTAACAGTGGTAGTAGAAAGTAGTGAGAGTAGTTTAATGGCAAAGGAGAGAAATGGGAGTGAAGGGATGCAATAATAATGGTAGTAGTAATAGTAGTAGAAGTGCAATGTGTATGATATCTTTCTGAATTCAGGCAGCAACGAGCAGGGAATAATGGTTCAGTTATATGCCTAGTGGAAGCGCTGTACTTCTAGACGTTATCCAGTACGTATATATATATTTTTTTAACGCACACACAGTCTTCCACCCAGGCAAGGCGATCAGAAAACAAATTTCACGGATGCACATTCATTGTCTTGCAGGAAACGTAGTGAAGACTTCACAGTTCACATGTCCCTCTGAACTGGAACGTTCCCACGCCGCCTCCAGGACTCAAGTCCGGCTAACCGATTTTCCCTGAATCCCTTGCTCACACTCCAACAGCACATAAAGTCATAAAAGCCATTTACCTCCACTCCCATCTAGTGCGCTCACACAGGCCTGTTAGATGTTCAAACCCATAGATATTAAAACCTCCTTTACCCCCTCCTTCCACCCTTCCCTGGGTTGACCCCAACTCCTTCCCATTACTCCCAGATTTATACACCATTCTAGTCATCCTATTTTGTTCCAGCCTCTCTGAATGTCCACACCTCTCCTCAGCCCTCTGGATAATACTTTTTTTTAATATTTTTTGGTAACCCAGCATATTCTAATCTCCAAACTCCGAATTCTTTGCATAATATTCACACCACACATTGCTTTCAAACACGATATCTCCAAAGCCTTCAACCTCCTCCTTGCTGCAACCTTTAAAACCCATGCCTCACACCCATACAACAGTGTTGGTACCCCTATATTCTCATACACAAAGTTCTTTGTCTTCACAGATGCCTCAGTGCACCATCCATCTTTTTCCCTTCGTCAGTTCTATGGTTCACCCCATTGTCCATAGACCCGTCTGTCTATAAGTCTACTTCTAGATATCTGATCATATTTACATTGTTGTTGCAGTTGTTGTTGCTCCTGCTGTTGTTGTTGTTGCTCCTGCTGTTGTTGTTGTTGCTTCTGCTGTTGTTGTTGTTGCTCCTGCTGTTGTTGTTGTTGCTCCTGCTGTTGTTGTTGTTGTTGCTTCTGCTGTTGTTGTTGTTGTTCCTGCTGTTGTTGTTGTTGCTCCTGCTGTTTGTTGTTGCTCTGCTGTTGTTTGTTGCTCATTGTTGTTGTCTGTTGTTGTTGTTGCTCCTGCTGTTGTTGTTGTTGCTCCTGCTGTTGTTGTTGTTGCTCTGCTGTTGTTGTTGTTGCTCCTGCTGTTGTTGTTGTTTGCTCCTGCTGTTGTTTGTTGTTGTTGTTGCTCTGCTGTTGTTGTTGTTGTCCTGCTGTTGTTGTTGTTGCTCCTGCTGTTGTTGTTGTTGCTCCTGCTGTTGTTGTTTTTGCTCCTGCTGTTGTTTCTGTTGTTGTTGTTGCTCCTGCTGTTGTTTCTGTTGCTCCTGCTGTTGTTGTTGTTGCTCCTGCTGTTGTTGTTGTTGCTCCTGCTGTTGTTGTTGTTGCTCCTGCTGTTGTTGTTGTTGCTCCTGCTGTTGTTGTTGTTGCTCATGTTGTTGTTGCTGTTGTTGTTGTTGCTCCTGCTGTTGTTGCTACTGTTGTCACTGTTGTTGTTGCTCCTGCTGTTGTTGATAGTGTTGTTGCTGCTGTTGTTGCTGTTGTTGTTGTTGCTCCTGCTGTTGTTGCTGCTGTTGTTGTTGTTGCTCCTGCTGTTGTTGCTCCTGCTGTTGTTGTCGCTGCTATTGTTGTTACTGCTGTTGTTGTTGCTACTATTGTTGCTGTTTCTGCTGTTTTTGCTGTTGTTGTTGCTTCTGCTGTTGTTATTGTTGTTGCTGCTGTTGCTGTTATTGTTGTTGCTTCTGCTGTTGCTGCTGCTGTTGTTGCTATTGTTGTTGCTGCTGTTCTTGCTCCTGCTGTTGCTGCTATTGTTGTTGCTGCTGTTCTTGCTCCTACTGTTGCTGCTATTGTTGTTGCTATTGTTGCTGCTTCTGTTGTTTTTGCTGTTGCTGCTGCTGTTGTTGTTGTTGCTACTGTTGTTGTTGTTGCTTCTGTTGTTGCTGCTGCTGTTATTGTTGTTGCTTCTGTTCTTGTTGCTGTTGTTGCTATTATTATGAGGGGAAGCGCTAAACCCAAAGAGGTCACACAGCGCCTGGGAAGAAAAAGGATGCAAGTCCGGTTGTGTCTCTGACATGGGGGTAACTAGGTTCGATCCGAGGAAGGGGAGGGAGTAGAGAGGGTGGGGAAGGATAGCTCAACTTCCACGGATCAAAAGCCCCCATCTCCCCCTTTTACCAACACGAAAGAATCCTTCATCTGAACACCAGAGAAATTTGTGAACATCTCAAGAACTGACAAGAGCATTTCCTGTGAGTTACCATATATATATATATATATATATATATATATTATATATTATATATATATATATATATATATATATATATATATATATATATATATATATATATATATATATATATATATATATATATATATATATATATATATATATATATATATATATATCGTTGATACGCTAATTTATTGTGGAAAATGATCTTATATATGTGAATTAAAAATGAATGTTGTTGTATGTTCATATACATTATTTTCCAGGTATAAACACCGCTGGTATAAATAAAAACAAATGTGTATATCTACATTTTATCACAGTCTACATCACTTCACTGGCATTTCCTGTCTAGTAATAAAGTTCTTGTGAATAAGAAATTATTATTATTATTATTATTATTACACTGGTTATTATTATATTTAGCAAGTATACAAGATCAAAGTGACTTATTTATGGAAAAGCGCTAAAGCAGTAGGGGGGTCACAGCGCCTGGGTCACGGAAGGTAATCACGGGGGGGGGGGGGAGGAGAGTGGAAGATAGCTAATATTCCAGGGATCTAGAGTTCTCGTACCTAACGTGTATAGAACGTATGTGTGTGTGTGTACGTATGTACGCGTGGCTGGAGCAGCGTGGAACAGCTGACTTGGTAGTGTTCAGTCCCGCGTCCCTGCGCTATCAGTGAAGCTCACGCCCCCTTTTCTCCATGATATTAGCTGTTTAGCTGCTCCCTAGCAGGTATGTGGCTCCCTCTCGCCCTCAGGGGTGGTTGTTAGCGTGTCAGGGGTAGTTTAGGTGAGTTGTGGAGGTGGTTACAGAGACAGGAGGAAGCCAGTTACTGTTGCACCACCCAGGAGGCAGCCAGGCGCATTCCACCACATTTATTATTTACACGATTGGAAATAAGCTGGATTCAAATGGAAATAAGTCACTTTGACTTTTTTGGAGGATATCCTAGATAATTTACACATGTTATGCAAAACAACCATAGGGGATAATTCAATGATAGTTCTAAGCTTTTCGTGTTGCATTGAACACAATATTCTAGCTAGAGTTGTTTTATTGAATAAATCTACCTGAACTTCCTACTCATTTTACGTGTTGATTGCAACACGTAACCTTGCTGCAACCTTTAAAACCCATGCCTACACTCACATTACCCATACAAATACATTATTTTTGGTACCCGTCTTAACTATGTGAAATAATCACTTGACTATTTTGGTTATCCAAGGTTTCTTACACATATGTTTTTGTATGATAATTCTATTAACTATTTGTTTGCTTTATATCTGTGCATTAAATTTACTTATCACGAAGTTCTTTGTGTATCAGATGTTATATCTCCCCCCTCCCCCCCCCCCACCCATGGTTGTTTTGGTTTGCGTTACTTGTTGGTCGATTATTGCATGTATTATGTATGATAATTGTACTTATGTGTACCTGTGCCTAAATAAACTTTAACTTACCAAACTTTAATTTTGCAATGGCCTTAAATACTGAATTATGCATAATTTAAACTTTGATAACTCAAATGTCCAATAATATTAGTTTTATTTATGGTAATAATAATAATATAATAATACTTTGTGGGTCTTTTATTTCTCATGTAAACTTTTATTTAAGCATTGTATGCATATTTTTTTTGCAGTTTCTTGAGGTCATACATGTTTTTGCCACATGAAAATTATATAGGGCAAATTTAACCTATGATGGTTCAAATAAAAAATGTGAAATGCCCGAAATAGGCTTTAAAAAATTGCATATTTTTGTATAATTCTTTGAGATAAATGTATAATTTTCATCAGTATTTTTTTTATTGGTGACCCTGAAGTACTAAACTCGTTGGAGTCGTCCAGTGCCTTGGGACTGTGGCAACGTTTCGCCCTGTTAAGATTAGTAAGTTTATTTAGGTATAGGTACACAGAAGTACAATTATCATACATAGTAACATAGGTCTAAATTACCTAAGATAATCCCCCCCCCCAAAAAAAAATAAAAGTCAAAGTGCCTTATTTCCATTGGTGGTCGAAACGTTGTACTGATATAAGAGTTATTTCTTGTACAGCTAACATTCGTGTACCTGTTACTGTAAACTAATGACTAATAACTAATAACTCTTATTTACCTTACTCACAGTATATCTCCTTTTATTATAATTGATTTTCGCACAGTTGAATTACTTAGCTGTTTAACTTTCAAGGTTTAAATAAGATATTACAAGGATAACAATGGAAATAAGTCACTGACTTTTTTTTTTTTGGGGGGGGGGGTGTTATCCAAGGTAATTTACACTATGATAATTTTACTTTATGTGTACTTCTGCTTAATTATTATTATAATCAAAAAGAAGCGCTAAGCCACAAACTTCTGCCTAAATAAACGCACTTATTCAATTGTCTTCAGTGAGTAATTTGGAGTCACATTAACAGACCTTGACTAGCAACCCCTTTTTCCCTTATTGAAACAAATACAAATGCAAATTTTTCTTTCTTTATGTAGTACAGTAATAATGTAGTGTATATATAAAAATAATGGTAGGCACGAAATAACCCCAGTGGAAATAGTTGATTTTTGGGGGGGTTATCCGAGGTAGTTTACACATGTTACAAGGTAAGATAAGATAAGATTTTGTTGGAATTTTCAACCTCGGAAGGTTAGCCACCACTATCTGGAGGTTATCTGGATATCAGGATAACCCAAGAAAATCAGTGCTTCATCAAGGACTGTCTTGTCTTATTTCCTACCGCAGCGCTGTATAGCCCTTGTGGTTTAGCGCTTCTTTTTGATTATAATAATAATTGATTATTTCCATTGTGGTCCTTCAATCTTGTCCCCCAGGATGCCACCCACACCAGTCCACTGACACCCAGGTACCTACTTGTTTGCTAGGTGAACAGGGACAGTAGGTGGAAGGAAAACATGCCCTATGTTTCCACCCGGCCGGGGATTGAACCACAGAAACTCAGTGTGTGAGACAGAGCGTTGCCAACCTGGCCACGGGTGTGATGGCTGTACTGGTGTTTACCTGTACCTAAATAAACTTCTCTCTTTTGGTGTCGCGTTTCCTTCCCAGCTCGATTAATTGCAACTAATAAATGCAATAAAACTTATTTTCTATATTGAAAGTTCAATAAAACTGTGTAACAAGTGAACGACTGAAAGGTCACGTTGTTTGAATGTATTGAGTTAAATTAGGTTAAGTCTGCATAATGTACTATCCCTGTAAAATATGTGACCTCAAAGCCAATGTGAAAAAAAAATAAGAATAAATAAAAAAAACTTTTAACTTATCTCATGAAACGTTCTGGTAGTCGAATGCGCCGGTTTTTTGGCGTAACCTCGATAGTACAACACCCATTATTATTTTCTGTCATTCGCACGTTATAACGAAAATTTACACTTGCCTGGGTAATTATAAGGCAAATTCGACACCCAAGCATGGAATTTATATATTAAAACGGATAGATAAGAAATTTGTTGTAGGAAATATCCAGGGATGGTAGTTTGTTTTGACGACACCTCCCAGCTAGGAGGGACAGGGGGGTTAGTGGGAGGGGAGAAAGAGGACGCCAGGGAGGGAGGACACCAGGAAGGATAGGATGGCACATGGAGGGATAAGATAAGATAAGATTTCGTTCGGATTTTTAACCCCGGAGGGTTGAGACTCTATGACCGCGGGTTCAATCCCGGCCGGGGGTATGGTTTATAACCCAAGAAAGTCAGTGCGTCATCGAGGACTGTCTAACTTATTTCCAGTGGGGTCCTTAATCTTGTCCCCCAGGATGCGACCCACACCAGTCGACTAACACCCAGGTACCTATTTGCTGCTAGGTGAACAGGACAGTAGGTGTAAGGAAACGTGTCGGAATTTCCACCCGCCGGGAATCGAACCCGGGCCCTCCGTGTGTGAAGCGGGAGCTTTAGCCACCAGACCACCGGGCCACCGAGGGAAGGAGTAGGAAACATGAATAATAATAATATCTTTATTTCTACAAGTACACATACAAGGTATACAGTCCTAGCTGACATCAATGACATACTACTATATAGAAAGCCGCTGGTTATGCGGAGCATTTCGGGGAAATTAGGCCTAGTTTTGTCCCAGGATGCGACCCACACAGTCGACTAACACCAAGGCACCCATTTTATACTGATGGAAAGAGGAAAGCAGGACGGAGGGAAGGTGGAAGATGGACGCCTGGAGGAAGGTGGACGTCTGGAGGAAGGTGGATGCCTGGAGGAAGATGGACGCCTGGAGGAAGGTAGATGCCTAGAGGAAGATGGACGCCTGGAGGAAGATGGACGCCTGGAGAAGATGGACGCCTGGAGGAAGATGGACGCCTGGAGGAAGATGGACGCCTGGAGGAAGGTGGACGTCTGGAGGAAGGTGGATGCCTGGAGGAAGATGGACGCCTGGAGGAGAGTAGATGCCTAGAGGAAGATGGACGCCTGGAAGAAGATGGACGATTGGAGGAAGATGGACGCCTGGAGGAAGATGGACGCCTGGAGGAAGATGGATGCCTGGAGGAAGATGAACGCCTGGAGGAAGACGGACGCCTGGAGGGAGAAGGGACGACGCCTACCTAGGGTAACGTCATGAAATCACCGCCCCCGTGGCCCAGTCCCAGACCAAGCCTCCAGGTTTGTGACCTGATCGCTCAGACTGTTAGTGATGGCCACCCAGCAGTCCAACATATGCACCACAACCTGGCTGATCAGGAATGTTTTGAAGAACCTGTCACGTTTCCTCCTGAAGACAACTAGGAGTTTGTTGGTAATCACCTTTATGCATGAAGAGAGAGTGTTGAAGAGTCGTGGTCTCTTAAAACTTATTAAGTGTACTCGTTGCTTACCTGTTTTTCCTCGGAGATATCCTGCACCATCTGCCAAGCCTATTGTGTTAACAGGTAGTAATTTCGGTGTGCAAGTTTGAAGTATCTTTCTCGCCTACATTCTGCGGAGTACAGTTCTAATGACTCAAGCAGTCTCAGTTATTTAGGTGCTTGACTGAGTTTATATGAACTGTAAAGGTTCTCTACATATTTCAGGAAGCTCAGCAGTTTCACTTGACTTGAAGGTGGCCATTAGTACACAGCAATAAATACTCCGGCCTGGAGAGAACGAGTGAACTGAAGAGTATCATCATTGGCTTGGCATCTCTTGTTTTGAAAGTTCTAGTTATCCAACCACCCATTTTTCATTCAGTTTCGATAATAACATTTTTGTGCTTCTTGAACGTGAGATCTAATGACATTATCACTTCCAGGTTTCTAACATTAGACTTACCTTCTATTGAGTGGTTTGAGTTTGTCTCGTACTCTGATCTTGTTTTTATTTTCTCCATTGCATAATAACTGAAATTTGTCCTCAATGAACATCATATTGTTGTCAGTGGCCCACTGGAAGACTTTGTTTATATCAGTGGCCCACTGGAAGACTTGGTTTATATCAGTGGCCCACTGGAAGACTTGGTTTATATCAGTGGCCCACTGGAAGACTTGGTTTATATCAGTGGCCCACTGGAAGACTTGGTTTATATCAACTTGATGGCTCACTGCCTCTTCTGTGGATAACGCTTTCATACAGATTCTAGTATCGTCTGTAAAGGATGGTACAGTGCTATGATTTATGTCCCTGTCTTTGTCAAATGAGGAAGAGAAGTGAGGTTGAGTACCGTGCCTCGGGATAGAACTTGTCACTGTTGCAGGCCCTGTTTTTACTGTCACTGTTACTCT